ATGAAACAGTATAGTTCTTTTTAATTACATATGTTGAATTGCTTTTGTCTGTAGCCTCTCTTCCTGGAGGATGCCATGAGTTTGCTTCAAAATGATGGGACTAATAACTTGTCCATGAACAGCTGGATGGAAAACAGTACCATTCAAGATGAACTGGAAAAAGTCATTCTAGAAAAACAACCGGTATGTTTTCAAAATGATAGCTCGAACACAACAGGATTATTTCATGCATGTTTTAAAAAACTGAAATGAAATTGTTTTAGAGGGGGAAAGAATGCTGTTATCCTGTTTTTTCATGTAATTTTTTATTTCCTTGTTTCCATGTATTGAGACTTTTTTAGCATTGGAAAAGTTTGTCATTTGTTTATATAGATTGCTTGATGTATATAACTTTCTGCGAAACTATGCTTTTATGCATATATCTTAAAAATCCCTGGTGACAAACTCTGTGGCCTTCATGTTGTTTAGTAGTGATTATATATAAAGGAGAGAGAGAGAGAGAGAGAGATGTCCTGGTGTAGTGAAGATTAATTTTGTGGAATGGTAAGAGCCACTTTTTAACTTGGTCTTCTGATGCATTCTGCCCCATCCCCAACACACACCCACCACACACACACACACACACACACACACACACACAAACACACACACACGAGAGAGAGAGAGAGAGAGAGAGAGAGAGAGAGAGAGGGGGGGGGGGGAGAAAGAGAGAGATAAAAAGAGAAACACAGCAAATGTTAAAAATAAATTGACCAAACTTGGACATACTGGTCATAGATTGACTGAACAATGAGTAATGACCATGGGATGCTTACTTCTCACATGTGTTCTTAACCAGGTGTTAGCTATGAGGAAGTAGTTAAAACAATGTCAGGATAGATCACAATCAGCACCAAAGTTGGTTACTCACTGTGTTGGTGCCTGGATGAAACTGAAGGGTGAATGTAGATGTGTTGACTGCTTTTTATGGAGTGAAGATTTAAATTTCAGATAACATGTCAAGATTTCTTGATTTTAAGTTAGTTACTCACTCAAGTTACAAAGAAATTAAAAGTACTGCATTCTTAATTTGTATTTCGCAACTGTTCTTAATCTGAATTTGAAATCAAACAGAATTGAAAAATATATTATGAAAAGACCATTAAAGTTTTTTTCAAAATTAAAAACCTGGCAGTTGTAAAAGAATACCTCACCTGGTATGTATAAGCAGCAGTTAACTTTATGTCGGCACCACCTGTCTCTCTCACCTGTTTGCAGTTGTAGTTACTAAACATGTGACTATTCATACATTTTCCATCTGTGTAAGATGGATAAAAAATAAAAAAAGGACTGCAATTCACTTGCAACAGATTTTATTCAATATCTTTTCAACAAAACTGCCAGCCATTGATTATCCTCATTTGTGCTTCATTTATCATTTATAATTTGTTGCACTCATATTCAGATTGCATACTGACACTGTAGATATTTCACTTTGTCCAGTTAAATGTAAATCAGGAAGGTAATGGATTTTAAATCTGGGAGTCAGCTTTGACTGGCCAGACTGACCAATACATATTGTTGATCAATTGTGATAAGTAAAATGTACAGCAAGCACAGCATTCCTGTGCCATCTCTTATACCTAGCTTACTACTTCTGTTTTCTGTCCAGAACCTCTCGGCCCTTGGGGACACCAATGTCAGTTACAGTCGCCAGAACAGTCTGGAGATGCGCTGGCGTGATGTGGCAAGTCTGTTGGAGTTGCCTGGACTGGCAGCAGAGGAGAATGTCACCCAGAACTACAGCGCTACGCCCACCACCAGTGGTCTCATCCAGAATACTACTTTCGCTCCTCAGATGAGCCCAACACAGGCTGTGCCCTCTATTGGTAAGTACATGTTTTGCAACATGCACTTTTATATATGTACAATACTTATTTGTGCTTCTAATATGTTTGTGAGGTAGGTTATCAGAGCATTGATATTTTCAATCATATATGTTATGTCGACACCACCCTTCAGAAATCTTATCAATTGATATTAGTTTATAACTTTTTCATGATGAATGATTTCAGATCTCACAACATCAACCAACCACAGTTTTGTCAATGAGAGTTTGACCCAGAATCCTGCTAACACCACCTTTGGTCTGGAGAACAGTGACCTACTGTTTCCCAACATCAGTGCCACTGTGCCTATCACCATGAACACTTCCAGCGACTTCTTGGATGACCTGTTGGAAGACGAGCTCTCTGATATGGAGATTGAGAACACTGCAGGTGAGTGGTATAGATGTGCTTAATCCCCTCAGATTGTGTCCTTAATTTTGAAAGGCCAGTTGTCTTTTTTAGTTCACTGACATGGCTCTATAAAGTGGACATTCTATAGAATCTAACTAAATATATACCAATTAATCAGTATAGAAATTGTATGCCTGGACTTACAGGTGGCTATTAAGAATCATCTGAGATATAGCAGTTGAAATATATGATTCTACAAGTTTATAATTCTATATACAGTAGGTCTGTGTTTTTGTCTTTCTGTATTCAAAAACAAAACAAGGTGTTTGACTGTATATGATCTTTCTTTCATAAGTTATACATGCATCCTGTACATTTGATCAAAAGAAAAATGTTGTAAAGCAAAAACACTGAGTGAATTGATTTCAATGGTTCTGAGGCAGGGTGTGTCAAGAAAAAGGTCCCGTAGGGATTTGAATAGGATAGCTATAAACATAGTTCTTTTATTGTACTCAACTGAAAATTGGACATCAATTTGAAAAGTGTCACATTTCTCTTTACAAAACCTGTAAAGATTACAGGATAAACCCACCTGTAAGAGTAAATGTCCCTGTTTTTACTCCAGAAGTCATTGTAATTGAAGAAAAAAAAGGGGGACCCCAGACTTACATAATGCATACCAATAAGTATGCTGAAGCAAATATATTTTTTTACTTGTTTAAGAGCAACTTATCATGATATATGTAGAAAATATGTAGACTGCCTGCAGCAAAAATGAAACCAAGGTTTATGCCCTTTAATTGCATGCGGAAGGAAGGAAAACTTGTCAATTTTTGCATAAACAACTCTCAGGTAACATTATTTGTGGGCTTTTACATGCTTGGGAGTTTCAGAATTATAGTTTCTGACTTGAATTTTGATTTAAGCACTGAAGATTTATATATCTTTTTATTACTCTGCCAAAACAAGTTTGTTCTCCTGAAGATCTGATTAAAAAACTTAAACATGGCAATAATTAAACATTAAACCTCAGATAGACAGATTTGTTTCATAAAGCAATAAATAAGATACAATAGTCATTTGAAATGTCAAGTTTAATGTGAATTGTGGCATTAAGGCTAAGCACAAGCATTGGGCAAGGCAGAACATTCAACAATACATTAAATTTTCTTATTTATATTTTTTTATCTTTTCCTTAAATTTTTTTTCTGTCATTTTAAAAGATATTTGGGATGAATCACATTGCTAAGATTGATAAACTTCCTGAACAGGCCATACTAAAAATAAGCAGACAAGACCTAAATTTGGCAAGAGCATCCGTTAAGAAGCTCTGGCTAGGATGTAGATAGGAAAGCAAGTGACTCGGATATATGATGGAGTTATGGTAAAGGCAAGGTGCTTTAGAAATTACAAAATTGTGTGGGGGTTAATTTCAGCAGAACAAAGGAGCATGTGGGCGATCATTGAATGGCAAGACATGAAAAGTGACCTCATCTTGGCATGAAATGTGACTTCATGCCATTGATTGTGACATGTTTTATGAAATGAAAAAACCACAATGACTCACAGTTTAAAGAAGACCAAATTAGTAACAAATCTATGTATTAGTTTATGTTGTGGTTAACTTCTTGGTACTTGTTACTGGTTTTATTTTCTGCAACCACTATACAATACCTCATACCATAGCTAGTTTATCAAAGGGGAGTTGATGTGGGTAAGAAACAGTTTGATACCACTAGTGCTTACGTACCCTGCCACTGTAATACAGTATAGACGGTATTTAACTACCAGCCACAATCTAAGCTTTTCTTTTTCCTTAACCTAATGTACAGTGCATATTTATACAGGTAAAAAGTTGAATAATTCAATTAGGATGTGATTGAATAAGCTGCAGAAAACCCATTGCATTCTGTATATTGTGGAGTTGTACCCTTTTTTTTGTTGGCAGTACAACTTCATTTTTGATCCAGTATCTCTCACAGTTTATCAACTTCACTTTCTTTGCTGTATGTTTAGTGTGTCTTCTGTTTTGCAGATTAGCGTCTCCACTTTTGTTGTGTATGTTAGCCAGTCGGGATACCTGGAAGTGTGTGGTGACTGTCTCGTCTGCCGTAGAGTCTGTAGACATTAGTATCAGGGTGAAAAGAACCATGTAGACTGTCACTGGAGGTAGACTGGTTGGCGCATAATTTGAACATGAGAACATATAGAATACAAATTTACCCAATGTAAAACACATGTAAATTGTGATCAATGATGCATGCAAAAGAAATAGCATATTTTATGATTCTAAAGATTTTAAAATGACCCCCGTGATACGTTTATTGATAGCATGAGAAGGGAGAATGGCAAGTTTTTATAGAATTGACACATGCTGTAGTTTTCAAACCAATACTTTGTATTTATATATTTATCATCATATATGCCAGTATAGATATTGCAGTAAACTGTTTTAGTCCTTACATAAAAGAGAATTACCTGAATCTAATCATTTGACAATATTCTCACACAATTGTAATTGTCATTAGCAATCAGCTGTAATACCATGTGTACATGTTATCATGTCCATAGATTTTATTGTGTAAGTTGGTGAAGGAAAGTGATACCAAAATGGAATCAGCTGACAGATAGTGCTGCATATTAGTGCATTGTGTTTGCACAGCCATATTGCAGTAGAGAGGACCAATTGAATGGTCATATGATCTGTGCTCCCAGCTTACTGCAATCTTGGATGCTCTCTGATACACAGTATTGAATGCTTGTAGGATTACACCAACCTATGAAGAAAGAGGGAAAATATTGTTTAAATTCCTTCTGAAACTTTCAAATTATTTTTACTATAATCACTTAGATACCAGTGATAATTTGAGTTTAGTAAACCAGTTGGGACATGTACCCTTTGTGGTGAGGACACATCGAGAATTAAAGGAAATAGAAACTATCAGGGTTAACATTTCTTGATTACGTCATCTTATGTGCAAGAAAACATATGAATAGTTACTTAAATCTTGGGTGACTAGACAGCCACTGCCACACGATAACTGTAGAAAACAGAAACTAAAACTTAAAGACAAAAAGTGAAAATTTTGTGAAAATAATTAACCTGGTGGGCATGGGATCAAAAGAAATATCATCTGCCATTCCCTTTCTCTCTGGACATCTGAACCCTGATGGTTGACTGATAGAGTACTCTTGAACCTTGTGTCTCTGCTGTCCTCACTGAAACTAATATTGACCTTAAAAGTAGATCGTGTTTATTTAGTTTTTATAAATAGTACCATGGCACCAGAGTGATGGCTTTTTGGTAGGAGATAGTTTAAATGCCTCCTAATACTAATGAGTTTGACTTGCTTCCTTGAGCAGGTTAGAGATGAAGTACAGCTGAAGTAGAATAGTTTGTTTATATGTAGTGATGTTGGGATGGTCAATTTTGGTTCACTAGTCTTAAGTTCATGCAAAATTTGTTACCGGCACTGAGGAATGTATTTTACCTTGGGGACAAGATCATGATCAAGATATGAAAGCTGTAAAAGAGGGAGGAATAGTGTTTAGTGAGGTGTCGCGTATGCTGTACCTGGTAGCTTAACAAGTGTGGTTTACCTCTGTGGTGAGAGATAGGGTCAGCTATGTGCAATTGTGTGCCCCCAAGTGTTCTCATAACAACTTACTGGCTATCACCAACTTGATTACCTTAAACCACTACAAAACAGTGAGAGCATCCTGAGATGACTTCATTGCACCTGCTAAATGACAGTTGTGCATGCATTTGGCGGAAATTTTTAAATATTGACATAATTGAACCTGATGCATTGTAGCTTTAGGCTAGTCTTATCCGAAATTATGGTGATATCCATGACAAGATAACAAGATATATGGGTGCAAACATACAATTTTGGCCACATAGTTGGTATAGAAAAAAAAAAGCACTAATAGTATTTTTTTGTTTCTTTCTTTCTTTTATTAAAGTTAATGTTCAAACAGGAAAATGATATTCTAAGAAAATTAATAAACCTTAGTTATGCAATAACTATCATTAACTTGCTTTGCTTTGTTACAGCAGCTGTGTCATGTGTTTGCCATTACCTGCAATACAAGTTTCTATTGATCACCATATCCATAAGTGATCACAGGTAGTGCTGATAAGCTGAGCTTAGCTTAGCAAGTGTCCTCTTTTTTGAACTGAAATAAGGTTGTGTGAACTTCACATGAGCAGCACATGTATAGTATTTGGATAAAAGGGGGAATGGAGGTGGGGGAGACTTTGTTTACTGAACAGCACATCTAAGGTTATGTAAAGATTTCTCGTGTCATGATGGATGTGCAGAACAGGATAGAGGGTGGAAGGTATGTGATTGGAAAACTTTTTCATAACATTTTTTGGATTTCTGCCAATTATATTTTAGTGAAGTTTAGGTAAGTTTAACAAAGGGCATAGCTATACATAAAAGGCTTCTCACTTTCAGTTAATAAAAATTATGCAATGTCCCAGAGTATAACAGTCAGAGTCATCCTAAAATGTAAATTTTTTATTGTTTTGTGAAATAGCATTTGACAGAAGTTATGTTTATCAAAGAAAATGATTGTAAAATATCCAGATGTTTCTTTTATCTGCAACAACCAAAACAACTGAAGAAAGGATATGAAGGTCATTGAGATGACCAGTTTGTTTACAAGTAATTGTTGGTCATCTGTACCAAGTCTGACCATTGGTGACAGCAAGGTGGGCATATAGAGGTCAGGTTGTCAACATTTTGCAATTTTGTCTCGTATAGTAGGTGGAACAAATGTTACTTGGTTGAGAGGGTGATATATCTGAGAAAGTACTCCTGCAGAAGACGCCATTTAGTCCAAAAATTGACTGATTTGGCTCCATAGGGTGTGCATATACATTAGAATTGTATAGTTGATGAAGGGTGGTCACTAGTAGGCCAGTGTAGTGAACAGAGACTGTGATACTTTCCCAAAGCAGTCAGTCATAAGAAATGAGTGTCCAACTTTGACGTTATCCTTTGTGTGAAATGTAAAATAAAAAGAAAATA